ACTCACTCTGACAGTGAATAGGCTGTATTAGATCAGAGCTTATTGAAATTAGGAACACCATAAGGATAATGTCTATATCTAATATTATTCAATATCTTCTAAAACTGATATTCTTGAATAATCAAATTGAACAGACTATCAATTCTTTATGCAAAGACCCTAATTCAAATTTCACTGAAAAATCAATTCATGTTTTTCCAGATTATCAATCGGTTTTTGAGCGAAAAATTTTACTCGGATACCAGCATTATTGAGAGGAGTAGTGTATTGTATTTGTTTTAAACCAACCCAAATTGCTACCGTCACTGTTTTCGAAATAATTTAAAAAAACTGAGATCGGTTATTTACATTTTCCCGCTTCTATGTCTTCAAAAAGGTGTAGTGTACATGTTTTAAATGTGTTGAACATGTCTGAACAAGCAATTTAAAGAAACACATGTTGCGGTTTTGGGAACTGTTAAGTGAAAATCTTGCAATGTGTAATAAAAAAAGGAATAACCCATTTCATTATATTATTACTTATTGTAAAATGAAATACTTGTAAAAATATTTAACTGACTATAATTTTATCAGCAGAAAAGTCTTAATAGTCTTGAAAAATTATTACATATAAAAAACACTCACCTATAACATCTATTTTTTGACTAAAAAAATTAAATTCATGATTTGTTCTTTAGATCCAGATTATGATCAGTCGGAGCTGAGCACTGTCAAAGTATCCTTACACATAAATATAACCCTTAATTATTCCCAGTACCATCCACGGAAATGTTTTACCGCATCCGCTTATGTGTAACATAGTTAGAACTAACAATAAATACTCAATGAAATGAGTCTGGGTAGCAGTGGTGGGGTAGAATAGAAAGAGCTTCCACACAAATAGAAACGCGATTAAAAATATTAATAAAATTATAGATATATGGAAAATAGTGCTTTCAGTGTACAGGCTGCTAAACTAAAAAAAATTGTATTGAATTGGCCGATACTTGATGAAAATCCATATTAAAACTAATTAATACTGCTTACAAAAACCGCGACACGTGTATGACTATACAATCGCTTTTTCAAGCGTAAAATAAAATAATTTGTATAGCTATTGTATAGCAAAACACGTGTCGCGGTTTTTGTAAAACCCTTTACAGTGGAAATCATACAATAAACAGTATTAATTAGTTTTTAAAAAAATTAATGAATGGCATACTCACTTCTAAGTTACACCTATCTACATCCGCTGGCAGTCGATAATTAGTGATCACAAGTAAATGGTAGGGGTAGATTTTTGCCGGTTCGTTTATTAGCATCGTATGCGCCATGTTTGGCAGGGAGCGTCGAACTTGTGATGAGTACCCGCCCGGGTAGCGTCCCAGTCCCCCTGTGTACGTTGTTGATATTGGCATTTCTGCATTCTGGCAACACAATATTCGATATGGTAATTACATTAATAAATGAATATTAATTGAAGTAAAACACAAATTTCGAAACCGAAAAGAAATGTATGTTATGAAGCTCGCCAACAGTTCTATAACTCCGTTTATATGAGAAACAGACAATCCAAAACCGATTTGAACTGAGTATTTATTTGACATAGAGTGGACCATCAACTGCATATTATTTTCTACAAATGTTTTTCTTTTGATTGCTGCTGAATTTTCAAAGGAAAAGAGTTCTTGTACTGAATAAAAAACAGTCCATCAAATACATTTTTATTTAAAGTAGACTGCACTGGATGTTGATTCATTTTATTTTCATTTTATCACATATATCGTCCATCACATAGATCGGGAAATTGAACTATTATATTTTTATAAACTGAAATTCATAACCTGCATTTTTTTTGGGTAGATATTAGAACATGGCATTGGTTCATTTCATCAAAGAATCACTCATTTTACCTATTTTATGAATGTCATTGTTTTTGATATCCGGAATCATAGATTAAGATGAAAGACATTGGTTCCTTATTAGAATGAGCAACATTAATAATTACAGTTTCAGAATTAGATTAAAAACCTCGAAAAACATGACAAGCGACTTTCCTCAATATTCCTGTTTACATACTATACATATTCTGGAAAAATGATAGAAAAATAATGAACCATTTCGAGTATTCATGCGTAGCAAGTTCTTCATTATCACACGAAGGATTTGAAATTTTGTTTTTTAAATAACCCATAAGATCGTATCATTAAAAATATATTCTACAACATGCAAACAATGAAATAAAATACAGAAAATATAATTCTACCATAAAAAAACTAAAAAGCATTGCAATAACAAGAAGAAAATATTTTTGAATACATATTCATTCATTAACTCCGAGTCAGTCATTTTCCAAAATAGAGATCCCCACATTCAATTGAAATACTGGTGTGGCCCACCTCACACAAGATGCATAAAAATATAAGAAAATGATCAAAAAGAGATAAAACCTACTTTGCCAACAAAAATCCTAAATAATTTTTCTTTTATCCAAACGGTTCTCAATTTATTTAATTATTTGTTAAAAAAGTTTCAAAAAATGCCACGCCCTTACATCTTTCAAGTCAATTTGGCAAAATAAATACTTTTCTATCTGATATTTTTTGGAGAAAGCATTCTTTCCAGTCATTAATCAAAAATAAATATGTCCGTTTTCACCAAATCTTTCTGACTACTCTTTACCCAAAATAATTTTTGAGATTTGTACTTTGATGTTTCTTATGAATTATTCAGTTTATATCATATCCGACATTAAATATTAATTTATTAAATAAACAGTGCTTTTAGGTTAAATTGAAGAGTAGCTTCTTAGTGAAATATTTCGCTATTGACGGTAAACTTCGCCTTAAGTTTTTATGTCGCCTATTTGTAGTCAGACACCGACCATACGGAGTGTAGAGGACAACATAATAACTTGAAATCCTTCTACACAAAAAAAATAAAATAAGCAAAATTCACAACATATGAATGGAATTTCATCTAAAGAACTGCCGATGATTACAGTGTGAATATAATCAATAATCTAGATGAAAACACTCCTGAAACAGGAAGAAATGGTGTGGATATTAGTAAGAAAAAAAACGAAATCTTCTCTTTCTTTCATACCAATATCTCAGATTTGTAACATGTGAACTCTTTGAAAAATTCATCAGCAATGCATCTGTATGATATTCTTTCAAAAATTTTGAAGCAGGTTGTCAATGTTTTGAGTGGTTCACCTGTTCACTTGGTAAATTGTACCAATGAAAGATCATAATGAAAAATACAATGATCAGCTTTTTAGAAAATTCAAAATGTTTAAATAATCGTCAATTTGGTTTCAGAGATCTAAGATCTCTTACTAAGGCAATAACATATATCAATCATGACATAACAAAAATGAAATTAAACAGGTCACATAAAAATACTATGTCGAAGTACAACTCTCAGAAATTATACACAAAAACGATCAAAATGATTTGATATGAATTATCAAAGAAAATAGTATTTATTTTTTATCAACTTAAAAAAAATTTCTGCGTAGTTTTTTTTAGTTTAACGTTTTTGTTAGTAACGAAGTATGTATTATAGAGATTTAGGCTTTCGCGGCCATCTTTTGAAGCTGTATATTGTTTCGGATCGGAAATCTCTCCAATCTTGGACCTCTAAAGATGCCAGCGAAACGTTAGGAAGAAATTTCAACAGAAGGCGGCCTACAACACGAAATGACAAACAGTTTTATATTGGAGATCATTCATATAAAAAATGAAAAGCTCCTTACTGGCAATGAGGAAATGAATTGATTCCACTAGTTTTTAGGTCAGCGCCATTTTATTGTCGGTTACATTGTATTTTTATGCTCCTTTTGAACGGTAAACCACTCGCCTAAGAGAAGTTATTGGTGTATACAAATAAATTGGAGTAGCGGAAAAAGCTTAGAATTCTCACACATTTTTGTTGAAATAGTTCATTTTTGCTGAATTATGTTCAACCAGATATGTGCTATTTTCAACAAAGAGTAGGTATATGTGTTTCCATGTCGAAAAAACTTGAGCAAAATGGGTATTGCCACAATGGTTTTTACTCTACTTTGACTGAGGAATAGAATGTAACCGACTTGTAGAGAAAGCTAGTCGTTAGACAAATTCACTTTGATTTATTAATTACCTCCGAAAAAATTTCAGAATGTAAGAGAATAATGTTTGAAAAAAAACTAGTCACATAAGCAGTGAGAAACTATAAAACACGAGTAATCTGTAACAGTATATTCAACTGAGACACATCCTTCTTAAAATCTAATTGACTACAAATTGTTATTGAAGGTTAGAAATGAGTTAGTAAATAAATTCACAAGTGAACAAAAGCAAGCCTACAGCCATAGAACATATTGAATAAGCATTATTTACATACCAGGGCGCATCGTTCGACATCCGTGATGGATCCAGTGGAAACTGAAGAAAAGGTATAAGTTTTACATACTTGCTCATTGCAGAAAGTCGTATCTCATATCAAAATCAGTTACTGAATCTAAGCCAAAATATGCTTCATTAGTATAAAATGTCACAATTCGTCCACAAAGATTTGACCATTTTCAATTAATATTTATTAAAGGTCCCAAAAAGTCGAAAACACTACCACTAGGGGGTATTGTGCCTTCATTAGAACTAGTTAAAAGTTGATCATCAAAAACTGAGAGCATATATTAGTCTAAGCATTAAAAATAAAACACATGCACTGGCATAACCAATGACCCTTGAATTTTAAAATTATTTTCTATAGATGTATTGGTGTTTCTGTGTACGTAACCGTAGAAGTGATTACATTTCTTGATAGAGGAATTTCAAAAAAATCAATCAAAAGTCTTACATATCAAAAATGATCAAAAGAAACCCTTCACGCAAGTGAATTTCAACGATATGTGACTTAACTCAAAACATGCAGTTAAGGGCAACTTTCAGAAATAGACCAAAGCTTTATAATAATTTCCAGGCTTTATGCAGTGATAAACTGTTTGTGCAGATACTTTAAGAAATTTCAGATCTACCTCAAAATTTATTAGAAGACAAAAAAATTATATTTCATTTTGAATTCGCCCGTTAAAAATTCACTTGTTTATCCTCAATTCGCCCTAGTCTCAACTAAAAGTGGCCATCCATATAGGGAAAACAGATGGTTAACAGAAAAATCCATTTTTGAAGTTATTTTCAGAAATCACTGGAAATTACATTGCTGAATACTGTAATTTTTCTCCGTAACTTTCAATCCATTGCTATCGAAGTTTGTGAGATATTATAACAACATTCATCCACTTTACTATTCAAATAATACCTAATCTGTTTTTTTTCACTGAAATTTACAAATAGTAACCCTGAACCACTCCGATGAGTGAAGCCAATTTATGGCGTAGCAAAATAAACTAAATCACCCATTTTATTCTCAGAAAGCATTTTATTTTTCTTCTTGGTGCAATCAGAGCAATAAAAAAGCATTAAAAGCAACTACAACTGGAACTACAGTTCAAAAGAACTGATTTGATACCTTGGATACCATTTAAACTCGTATACCAGAAGATATTTCAATAAAAATAGAGCAATAATAATTCCATGTCGTCTTTGTCAAACCTTAGCAATAAGTACCTCAAAAAATGTGGAAAAAAATTTAGTTCATCTTGTTCGTAAAAAAAGGTGTTACAGAGGATCACAGATAGTACTTTGAATTTTGTTCAATATATCTTCTGTACGACCTAACAAAAGTTTTTCAAATATAATTATATTGTACCGAGACAAAGATGCTGTTGACAAATATACTTACTATCTGATTTTCCACTACTGAAGTCCGTGCTATGAGTTTTAACACCCATTCCACTAAACGAATAATCACCCTGTGAATAATCAACTCGTTATTAAGACAACGATATTACAAAACAAACCGACAGTGAATGAGTCAGTAATTTTTGCAAAAAAAAATATCTATGCTGCTGCTTTCTGATATTGTGAACCATGACTTCGGAAAAAATACATAAATTTTTCAACCTAGTGTTCTGGATAAATTATATTCAAAATTCCCTATCCATGTCTCGTTAGCCATGTAACATAGAAAAATCAATCCAAATTCTCACAAAAAGAATACCTAGTCAAAGAGACTACCGTTGAGCCAATGCACACCTATCAAGCTTAGATATACTTTCCATTTGAATTATCTGTTTTGATAAATAATTGTGAATTCAAATACTTGCACTTCATAAGAATTGTATTTGAAGATGTCCAAATATACAAATATTTTTGGAGTATTCAGTATACTTCTGAAAACCCAATTAGAACTATCCTGATGATGAAGATTGACTGGATCTGCAGATATGTCAGAAAGCAGCTTGCATGTTTTTCACTACGAACATGTTTCCTTAGTTTTGATGATCTTTAAGAATTCGGTTTTCAAAATAATTCGTGATGCATCAATTCCATTGCTGTCATCTGAATTACTTAGGGCTCTTTATTTTGATTTTTGAAATTATTACTTAAACGCAGATTAAAATTTTAAACATCAATCTGTGCAGCGGCAGTGAACTTTATCTGTTGAATTGAAATTGTTAATTGAAATCTTACTCAAATCTCTTTGAAGAAAATATTAAAAGTTATAAACCAGCAAATATAAACCATTATAAGAGTTTCTGCTGAACGAATTCTCAGGTTGATATCAAAATTAGGGAACCTAACACTCAGCTAATAAAAATTTGAATAAAATAATTGAAACTGGGTACATGGTTTCTAGAGGTCACATGAAGTGAGAAAAATGAACAATCAATAAAGATATAATTTCCTAAATTTTATTCTAACTTATATATAAGGTGTCCAAAGTCATGAATCAATCAAAAAAGAGAAATATCTCTATACAAAAACAAACCTGTTTAAAAATCTGGTTTTTCGTATGCAATTATCAGAAATATGCGACGGACTGTGGCTGGTCATCGTTTTGAGGTTCAATTCAGTACACCTCGAACTTCACTGTTCAAGAACTCTTCAATTTGGAGAACTGCATTTATGTGGAATTAACTTACTGACAAAGTTTTTTCAAATGGATTTATTTAATCTCAAGCGATTCAAATCCAATGTCAATCACTACTTTCGCACAGGCACCGCTCTTAGAGCGCCTTGAGGATTTTCCTGAATGTTTGTGTTTTGTCCTTAAAAAAAATTTACTTAGAGTGAAAAATCCAAAACTCACCCAAAAAATTACGCAATTTTTTTTCTTCCATCTGACAAGTTGGAACTTGGGAAGATAAAAAGTTTAAATGTAAGAGTTAGAGGAATAATGCTGCTGATCGAGAGATTGTCTCAAAAATGATGTAACCAAATTCATTTCTATGACGAATCTTCTAATGGTATTAAAATATTGCTCAAAAGGTCCATTCCCATCTTTATCCCTTCAAAACTCACTCAAAGACATATTTATTACTGTTTCGGGCATTAATGAAATTCAAAATATACAGAACACCATCTTATAGATCACATGCTGATGACTCAAGATAGTTATTTTTTGTGATTTTTTGAATAAAAATGTGTTTTTTCAATATGTTTATTTTGTTTTATTGCAAAGGCTCTTTTGGAATTCCGTTCTTGAATAAATTTTCATGAAAGAAGTACTTATTATGTAATATTCATTCAGGTAGGTAATGTAAAATTGAGTAGTCAGTGTAAAACTCTATCAAAAACAAAACTGTTATTCGAATTTAAAAATCAGAGATTTCAAATAAACGTGAGATAAGAAAGTAGTAGGCAAAAGATTGATCAATGTTGAAAAAACTTGTAGGTTTTATGTTCATTCAAAGACGATATTGAATATAAAAATAGAAACATCATGAATAATTTGGTTTTAAATATTGTTTTCACTTTTATTCTAACCTCAAACATTTAAGAAGAAACATTATCAACAACATTTAAGAAAACGTATAAAAATGTATGCGGATATTTCATTCTTTTGACCTATGACTTTGGAACAACCCTGTATAAAGTTATACAAAACAGAAATAGCAGAATATAAATCACTCAATGTGAGAAATTTACCAAATACTGTGAACACATATCTGTAAGTCTGTAACATTCCATTTCTAAAATTGGGTTAAAAGAGAAAATTACTTTTTTTACGCTATTACACTATTACGCTATTATTATTTTAAAATATATTATAAAATAAAAATATTTTCTTTATGAATTAAGAACTTGAAGTGACCTCTGAGTAACCAAAAATTTACGCAATGCTACTATTCATTATAAAATACAAACAGATATACCCAAACCATGATACAACACACTTGACAATTAACATGCAAAGAAGATAGGTGAAAAATTCACTCTCCTGATGATGGAAGTAAGAATGGTGATATAACTGATTCAAAATAAGATCAAAAATAGAAATGATGTTTGAAAAAACATTTATAGCAAATGAATGGATGAAATGATTCTGAAAAATGTATCAACTCCACCTAATCAATGGATGAAAACTCTAAATAAATAGTTTATTCTAAAATATCTTCATTATATGTGCTTTAGAGTTTTGAGGATTACACATCATCTTTAAAAAGTAGACTAACCGTTGCCAATTGATTTTTCTCAGAGCAAATACCAATTCAATAGATGCAAAGGTATAATAGTAGCAAACTCCAAACCGTGTTGGTTTTGAAACCAGGCAGGTAAAAATTATGTGTAAGCCCATCCTTCAAATAGTTCTTCTTTGAAGTCATCTCCACAAGCAGGTAGAAATACACTTATGAATTTCCTGAGAAGAAAGTAAGCTTCCTTATATTCGAAGGATCTTTCAGCATTAGAATGATAAGGTTCGGCTAGAAAATAGTACTGAAAGCGTCAAGAAAAGCGATTGCAATACAACTTTATGAATCTCAAAATCTAAAAAAATTATAATCTCAAATTGTAGAGGGCATGCCAAATACCTAATTTGGCCATCCAGAAGATAAACGACCTAATGTATAGGATTTAACCATCATCCCGAAGTGAGCCCAAGGCTATCCACATAAAGAATTCTTAACGTGACCTAAAAACATGTAACAAATACAATATTTGCTATTCGTGACGACGAACAATCTGTGAAAGTGGCGATGTAACAAATACCCTATTCTAGTAAACTTTTCTAATTAATTTTGTAATAAACATCATTGCATTTCTAGAATGTCTTCTTGAACACACATAGAACAATCTTAAACATTCAAGAATCAATGAAAAAGTTTATTGGTAGAGAAGAATGGGTTTCCAAAAATGTAATTGATAATTTGTTACTAACTTGTACGAAACATTGTATGATGGTTGATGATAGTGTTACCTTGGATACAGAGAGTGAATTTTTGTAAAAAAAAACACACACAATTGCTTGAAAAACTTAAAAACAAACATTCTGCATAAACTAAAAAATAATAATGTCAGGACAACACATATATTAAAAGAAACCAGGTAATGCGGACTCAAACTTACGGGAATTTGAGGAACTGAACTACCAGCAGATGAACTGAATGTATATGATCTTGGCGCCAAACCGTAACCAGGCTTAGGAACATGACGCAGAGCACTCACAACTGTGTATGAATAATAGCAGATAAAAATATGAACAATTCCATAAGCATATATTAAACATTCAGCAACTATACAGCATATGCGGGAGTGTGTGTTCTTTTTGTATTATATACACCTTTTACTTATTTTTGGAACAGTTTCCTAATCAATGAAGTCCTTCAACTTATGTTTCCACTTTCTTTGAAGCTAAACCTAATACTCACATATCCATTTCTACTGGGCAGAGTAGATGATTTAAGTCCATAACCAGGCCTAGGTACCATTCGTAATGATGAAACTACTGTACAACATGCAAAAAAACAATGTGCAAATAAACAATATCAAATAAAATTAAAATAAGAGCACATCATGCATTTATCGTCTGAAATATAAAATGCTGTTTTCTGGCTGAAGTTAGGAATTACTCTATGGGAAGCAAATATTTCTTATGGGAACATTAATTGAAATGATGTTAAATATCGGGATCAAAATGTTAGTAATTCTATACATGAGGCAACATAAGTCCTGGTAAAATTTTACTAGTGGAAATCACAGCATTTCTTTAAACCATTGGGTAATATATTGGTTTAAATATTTAGATCTCCCAACTTGAAAAATGATGAAATTTTTGTAATATTATTTTACACTATCAGTAATATTCAAAAAGCTCTTTTCAAAATTGGTCTCCTAGAAATATTCAGTTTCCATAAATACAATTTATTTCACTGACACAATTTAATGATTTCACAAATGTTTTTTGATGAGATGTTGAATATAATCTACTATAATTTTCACCAGTAAAACAAGTCATAATTTCATTTAAAAAAAAACTGGTTAGTGACACACTTGTACAAATTACATGCTTTTCGAGGAAATTTTGGAATACACTATTGGAAACAGATAACCTCACCTCAACAAATTTTTCATTTCCATTTCGAAAGGTTTCTCTTCAAGTTTCAAATATTTATCAAATATACAAAAATACATACTTCATCTTTGCACTAATTGATATCACTTTTGAAAGATTCACAATGAATTCTTCTAGTCATTATAATGGTAAAAAGATTTAAAAAATTATAAAAAAATCAAAATGAATCTTCTATGAAACTATACAACTTTAATTATTCGATGAAATAGAATCATTTGATTAGCCTCCATTATGGAATCCATAAAACTTACTTGAAGTAAATAGCACATATTTCTAAAGTAATCTGTCGAAAATCTTAAACAATCCAACAGATTATTTTCTACTTGATAAATCATTTTGCTGAAATATACAATCACTTCATTGTCAAAACACTATGTAACAAGATTTGAAGTTCACTAACTATAGACAAACAATTATACAGAACTATCTCAAAGTTCACAGAAAAATATAATGAAATGTTCATAAACCATTTGTTAGTCCTTTAAATCGAAATCAATGGATAACAAAATGATTCGAGAATTGAGGTTTCACAAACATGTTACCATTATAAAACAATTATAGAAGGTGATTACAAGAAAAATGCTATGAAAAATGGAAAACCTGTTTTGCAATAAGCAAATCAATGAAATTAAACATATCTCACAATTTTGTCAAAAATTGTTTCAAGATTTTGTCTTCTGGTTGTTTTTTCAAGATGATATCAATTACACACTTGATGAATGTTCAGTTCATTTAAAAAACATTGAGAACTTGCATTCTTATACACATAGCTGAATAAATTAATATATCCAAGATCAGCAGATATCAGTAAAAGTATTAAATTTTGTCAAAGAGTTTGAACTGAATCTTGAGAAAGCATATTCTAACTGAAAACACAAGTCCAAAACAATAATTTAAATACTATCCAAAGTTTAAAATCACATTTAAATGTTTATTGAAGATTCTAATAGAAATATCAACTGAACAAATTTTTGACAAGTGAAAAACTATGAAGAAAATATTTTTACTTCAACCTCAACATCATCAAATGTCTCAACTTTATTAACGTTATTAATAAAGTCTAACCTCCAATTCTTGACTTATCAAGCTAGCTATAAGGTAGCTATGAGCTACCTCATATTTATATTATTTGAAACAGGATGGATGGATGGATACTCAATACTCACTCTGACAGTGAATAGGAGAGCATTTGTTTGTAAAAATTTGCATAATATCATTTTACGAAACCGTTACACCGTCACTTACCTACGAACCAACAAAAAACGTAACATTACAATACCTTGTTTGGGTGAATGACATTTGTAATATGAAATATACCTGAGTTTTAAGAATAGGAAGGGATTACTTTCTAAAACGTTGAACATTCCTGAGAAAGCTAAGTGCAGATATATTTTTTCCCTAGATCATTCAATTTGTAGTCAAACATGTGTGAATATGATAAGTTGCTCAGTGGTTTATACTACGCAGTACATTTTTGGCATGAACTTCAGTTTGCTTTTCATTTTACTTTAGCAGATTCATTGTTTATCAAGTTTTATTAATATTTTATACTATGAAAATTAAGTCCTTCATATAACAAAAAGTTATAAATTATTTTTCCTTGTTATTTCTATACCAAAACTTGCGACAAAATTCTGAAAACACTATATTGAAACACAATGTTGCAGAATAAGAGGTTAGATATCAGTTGTTATCTATAAAATCATCAGATTTGTCAATTTGTATTCGAAATATAAGTAATTTCTTCTTCTGATCTCAGAATAAAAAACTAATATATTGTAGTGTCAAAATATCTGATGAAAATGAAAAAACTTACCATTATAATTAGGGATAGCACCAATGGATCTACCCATGGAAGATCGGCAGCTGAGGGATCTATCAAAGTCATCTTCATCAAATGGTTTGGGATGGTCCAAGTTTCTAGAAGGGCTTGCACCGATAGGGTTATCGTAACGTAATCTATAATGGGGTTCCTTATTTGCTGATGGAGTTCTATAAAAAAAGTACTCCATTTAGGATTCAGAATGCAATTCAATAAAAAAAAATATTCTCTGGACATTCATTAGACAAAAAGTTCTATTGCCCTAAAAAATAATAAACTGAATCAATACTTAGAAAAAAATTTTACGGCAATATTTTTTTGACAGCTTCTCATAAATTGTTTTCATCTTCAGTTCTTATTTGAAAGTTGTTTACATTTATTGAATATTCAGTTTTTCAGATACTGTACGTAAATCTTGCAACAAGTTTTATAATCCTTACATATATGCACGTATAATGTTTCTGGGGATAATGAAAAAATACACATACAAACGTTCAGAAATTTTTGTCGTCTCTCCAATGAGAGTAAGCCATACCTTGTAAAATATTAAATTTATAATAGTTTTCAAAGTTAATTCCTGTTTTGATTGCAGTTGATCTAAAAAACCGCTTGTAGCAATATAAGAAGACTATATGATAATAGAATACTCAAGTTTTGGATACCAAAGTTTAAATGTTTTTTTTAACACCTCTAGCAATATATCAATTTCTGCGAACACATACATCCATCAAAATACATGTCTAATATTTAATGAACAACATATTAATGTTGTTTTACATTTGTATTACTGCAGTCTTTTTATGAAAACTTATAGAAAACACTGGCTTATTTTAATTGCGAGATTATTTGACATGAAGTACAGTAACATCTATTTGAAAATTTAAAGTATCCTGGAAAATACTTATTTTTTTAAATAACTCAGTCATTGAAATACAATAAACCCTTGCGGGTTGCGGTGGAGGGTCGAACAGACCCTTTCACTTTGGACCTAACCTAACATTACCATTGAAATACAAACTAACATGGCTTATATTAGTTGCGAGATGATTTGACATGGAACATTCTGAATGTGCATTAATTTCTATTTGAAGATTAAAACTATCCTGGTTAATACTTATGTTTTTATGTATCTTATAATCCCAGAAATACAAACTGACATTGGCGATTGGCATGCAACAAAACACAAAATATAATTGACATATTGAACAAGAGTGGAAAGCAGAAAGGTTCTTGAGGAAGTTTTTTCTTTAATGAAGCTTTTTAACCAGCAGATGGTTTGTTCCGGGGTTGGATTAGTTCAGTCTGTGTTGTATTGACTTGTTCCGGGGTTCTTCAGCACACCTTGGTAAGGCCTTCACGTCACAAAAGAAAATAATGAGAATAATTTTCAAAGCTCATTCACAAAATACTTGTATTTTAACAGCTTCAAGTCAATATTTATCACAGTGGATGAATTTCTAAAGTTTCAAAATGTAAGTTTTGCTGTCTTGATTTTATAAATTTTATATATATTTTTTTCTTGTATATTTATAGCTACATTATGCATTCAAATGTGGTGTGACAAATGTACTTTTACCTTCATATGACTTGTTTGACCAGTCCAATACATTTCTTATAGGAAGTGAATAACTTGTGATTGTTTACATTGTCTGTAAACCATCTACAGACATTGAGTTAAAAAAAAATGTTAACTAGCAGTAAGTCAAATAATAGTCAAAACCATAATTTATCTGCCATTTATGTAACAGCATCATCAATTATATCGGCCTATGTCAATAAGATTATGTATAATGTATTCATACCTATTCTATATTCTTGTAATGGGGTACAACCCGTCAATAAATAAGCCTGGGGTATGTTTCAGATACTACTAAAATATATGTTGGCACTTCCAATTCTAGAAAATTTATAGTGTTTTAATATGAGTTACCATTAAGACTAAGAAAATATGTATATGTGTCTCAAAACAAACTTGTACATTGAATATATTTCATTCTATCTATAAATTATTAAAAGAACACTTTAACTGAAACTTCAAATGTCTATTGCCTTATTAGATCACTTCGTACCACCCTTTCAACTAGACTTCTCGATCTGCGTGTTGGTAGTGTTTATATATGGTAATCGAAGTCTCTGGAAGCCGATAGGGAAGTCGTTGAAAGTATCTCGCAGCGACGAAACATCTAGAACAATCGCAAAGCGCCAGTAGAGTTGAGCGCGATCTTGACCAAGTTACAATTATTTGACGACCAGCGGCAGCCAGGGTTATATTTTTTAGGAGATAATTGACAACGATACTATTTTTTTGGATTCATTCTATGTCTGAGGAAATTATAAATTTCATAAAATTGTTAACATACCTAGAAGCATTCCTAGGGTCCAAATTAGCAGCCTTCCATTGTTTCAACTTTTCCCTCTCCTGGACATTCTTCAAAAACACTTTTCCTATCCCACTAGCAATTTTTGTCAGTTCTTCCTCTTCTTTCTTAATATTTTCTAACTCTTTGGAATTTCTACCGTCGATTTCGTCTTCATCGGAGTCGGGTACACCTTTATAGGAATCTGACCATCGTTTTCGACGCTCTGGATCAGTATAAGGATAAGGAGGGGCTGGAAAATCATCGCGTTCTATTTTGGGAGGTTCTCCCGGAGGGGGAGGCTTTGCACCAGGAAAGTGGGCGAGTTCAATCGGTTCGTCATTATTCATTCCTGGAGACTTGGGTCTTGGTGTCTCACTCCGAATAGAGTCTACCATAACTTTCATGGCTGATCTGGAACCATACCTCTTTCCTGAACCTGTACTTCCTCTCAGCGAATTCTGGGCTGGAATTGTTTGAATTAATGTTATCGCAGTACTTTTTCTCAAAGAAAAGGGTCTCCATTAAACCAAAATCGTTCCTTTCAAAGCAAATAACTTTGGAACAGACCGATTTATGAACCAGTTAACTGAAAACAGCTATTTTTGAAAAAACTTTTGAATTCAGTAGTTTGGTAATCACCTAAAAAATTATCCTAAAACTTAAAGAAAAGAAAAAGCCACTATTTAAATAATTTTGTGTTTTATGAATGTGAAAAAATACATATATCATCCCAAACTTAACTTTTTTACTGAACATAAAAAAAAACTCTCAGACACCAGTGTTATTTCATACTATGTGAATGAATAAAAAACTAAATAAATGAAGAGACTGACAAAAAGTTTCGTGAACATTCTGAAAATATTCTTATGAGAATATCATTTGAACAATTAAATAAATCGCAAATTGTGTTTCAATATGCAGGGTGTATGAAAGATGTATATTGTATCAACAAAAGTTATCAAAAACGTGTAATTTTTCAACGTTGTTTATTAAATGGAACAGGGATTGGCGCTTAGTTCTTTTATCTCGAAAATATATTCAAATTTTATATAAAACTAAAGATGTTATTACTTTTTTTACTGAAAGACTCATTTCCTGAAGTTCAAACAAAATGGAGAGAACACTGACATCATTAACCAATAACCACTTTCCATGCCGTGAGGTAAGTAATCACTGGGTCGATGAACCATGTTCTACGGGAGGAAGACATTTGTCCAACCAAGATTTCTACAGTACTAAAGCCGATGTGATTTTGTAGTTCGATATTAGAGAAATGTTTTAATAGAGTGGTCTGCGTAGACTCTGTCCAAGATAAAATCTTAATATTTTCTTTATTTTTCCTCCTCGTTTCAGTTAATATTTGTATCAGCCGGAAGTGAAAACTTCGCGATGAATTTCGTCTTACTTTGATGATCGAAGAGATCTACATCAGGTTTACAAGCTTACTTAAGCCTAAAACCTATGCCAAATTTAAATTGTACAAAGAGTGAAAGAAATCCTATTTGTTGAACACCAGAATATTACATTAGTCTTTTATAAATTGAAGTCTAAAACATAACATTTGAGAAAATTGAATGAAACTTACATGTTGGTCTATGGAAATGTGGAGAAGTCGGTGCTTTATCATATGGATCAATAGGTTTTCTCAAATATCCCAAAGTCGGCTCTTCTGTAAGGTAACTATATGTATATATCCTGGAAATGTCATCGATGAGTGTTGCTGATTTATTGTGATCCCTTAATATTAGTCCTGGTGATGGGGTGCGATAGTTGAAATGCTGGAAAAAAATAATAATTACTAAAATGAAATACGAAGATTTTGAAAGAGAGAGAGAGAGAAGTACGTTTATTGTCCCAAGAAAAAGTACTTGTTTACAAACTCGTGCCGTTGCACAGCCGTGGTGGATTCAAATTTCGTAGCGATATAACATTCAGTTGTAAATTATGCGGTGGCATGCCAGAGTTCAAAAACTCTGTTGGATAATAAATGATCTATTTAGATGACAACGAAGGGTAATGATATATGACATGAAAACGCTATCTATGGGATCAACAGAAAACTCAATAATCAAACATAAAAAATTAACAAGGCTCTTTAAAGCATTCGGTTGCAAAGCCAAGCTTTTGATTTGCTAGTATCCAGTTTTACTCTACTTCTACTCTATCATCCCTTGTTGCTCTTTGCTTGACTCTCAGGCCAACCAAAGAGAGAAGTTCTATGCAATTAATTTGGCCTGACAATAATTTAAATAGAAATATTAGATCAGCATGAATCCGCCTCTTTTCTAATGTGGTAAGATGTAGTATAAAGAGAATATCAGTATAGTTATGTGGCTGGTCCGTTTGAACACCCATTTTGTAGGCAGCACTACGCAAACATTTATTTTGAACCTTTTCCAGTGACGCTTTGTACACTAAGTAAGAAGGACACCACAAAAGGGATTCATACTCTAAATGTGACATAATCAATTAACAATATTTTCATTGTGCTTGCCGATAAGTCCGTAGCGATCCTGCCTACATATCCAAGAAGTTCAAGTTATTTCAAGGTTATTTTCTCTATATGGGATAAGAATGACAACTTTTAATCAAATATAACACCAAGAGCTTTAACTTCATCAACTTAGTTGATGGCAGATTGTCAGTAAAATACATTCAATGCTGAAAAGTTTGATTAACCATAGTTTCATATATTTCTATAAAATAATCATCTCTTGGTCATCTTCTTTGAAAAGGTTATTACATAACCATACAAAAGTTTAAGGTAACATTTCAATGTCAAAAAGTAAGGACATTTGCTAGTCATGGTTACCTTAAATAAATAATTTGAAAGAGTTGATTTACTAATCAAGATTTCAACAGAGACGCAAAGTACCGGCTATTAAACTGTTTTATAAACTTTCTCGGAAACACCAACCACAGTTATATTTTCCTGCAGCAAGAAAAAAACAGAACACTCATAAAGGGAATCATTCATTCATTCCAACAAAAGTACTTTGAATTAAAATTTGTTACATTACAATCACAAAAACTACGAGTTCTGTTTAATTTGAGATTGATTGTGGTGGAATAAATGTGAATGGTACATATATGAGAAGCAGTCAAAAAAAAATTAAAAAAGCTGATATATACAAGAACTAAAGAAAACAAACCTTTCTAGACATGCTTGAAGGACTGCATAAGGAGCCATTGAAACTAGGTGTACGGGAACGCATGGAAAACTGTAAAAAATCATGCAAACAAAATTATGTAAAAAGAAAACAGAAGTTTGACAAAACGAGCAACATTTTACGTGAAAAAATATTTTTTGCAAACCTGTAGTTCACTGACTCCAGAAGTACTATTCCTATCAAAGTCTCTCATAGACATATCAGTGTCAGTGCAGTTTCCATTAGCTTCTCCAGATTCGTTAATGATTTGACCATTCTCAGTGGGTCCGGGACCACATCGGGGATGCCAGATAGCTCCCCCTTGAAGATACATTTCTTCTCCATCTCCAAATGGTTCTCCACATTTTGTACAACGGGCACAAGTTGGATGGAAATGATGGTTATCTCCAGCCTAACAAAAACATCATCTTGAAGAAGAATACGGAATAAACAATATCGTTTATGGAAAACTCTACTGATAATGGATTCTTATACAATAAACAGAAATCAAATAGTTTGTCTTAGCAATTTCAATTTCTTGCGATCAATGTGACATAAGGTACATTGCAAACTTTGTATTGGTACTCAATGCCTACATTTATAGAGTAATTAGTACTTTCATAAACTTGATATCCAAAGACTTGTGGAGATCATATCGTAAGGTGTAATTTATGAAATTACTATGGATCTTCATCAAGTAACGGCCAAATCAATCAGATAATTACTACTCGTTTCAAAAATTCTGAATACCAGCTTTACATTAATAACATTTCAGTTTAATAAAATAATTAATTACTTCTCAGCATGAGCTGTATCAAGATCCGCACTACTATCAAAACAAACTTCAAAATGAAGCTGAAAATACCGCTACACAACATTTCCCAGGAGAATTAACTCATCATCAAAAATTACAAAATTAATCAAACAACAGTTACAAACTATATCCTTCACAAGTGACTTAGGCGTAACTTTTTGTTATGAAACTAATAGTCAAGTATCAAATTGGGAAGATACAATTGTATGGTATAGGAAGAGTTCAAACAAATTTATTAATTTTTCAAACTGCTTATTCAATAGGAATAGAATTTACAATTCATATAAAAAAAAATCTTATTAGTTAATTGACTCGAAAACTCGGATTATTTTTAAGGTTATTAATACAATAATGATGCCGAGTTCGATTTAGCCCATTTATTTAAAAAAAAGACCATTATTATCATAGAGGGTCTTTATAATTCAGTTCACAGATCCACTCAAGAAAACAACAATTTGGGACCACTCCTCCACCAATATCGAATTCAATAATCTATAATGCAGCAAAATTACACAATTATGTATCGGCCAGTATAAGAAACAACTTCATAAACCTTACATTTTTCATTTATATATACTTTTCAATATTTCATATATAAAAATTATGGTGAAATGAAAAAGCCATTTCTCAACAAAAAAAAGGCAAGAATCATTAGCATTAATCTTTTTGGGGTGAACTGATTTGTTTTTAGAGATATTCTCATACCACGACTATTGTAAAACATTCAATTTACTGAGATTGAACAAAAACAAAATTCAAGAGCAATAATCAAAATGTGGCTGCACATGCTTTTGTCTAATTTAGTTATTCATTAGGAGATGAAGCTATTTATTGCAAATACCTGCAAAACTTTCCCGCTGATGAATCTGTTACAATAAGCGCATTTCACCCCGAATTGTTTCTGATAATCTCTTTCGCAGAAAGGAATACCATCTCTTCCCATATATTCGCCGTGAAGTACTGTACCACACGTGCCGCATTTGAAACACCAAATATGCCACTGTTGGTCGAGAGCTACAAGAGCTTGGCCTTCTTTCAATTCCTCTTTGCAGCCAGCACATTCTGAAACTTGAAAGTATACAATTAGAACAAGCAACTTTTTACAAAATATCAAATATTAGGAAAGAAAGGTTTTGGCTTTCTACTTCTCCACCTGTATAAAGATGGAGATCAATCTCTCCTGAAGATATACCCCTTTCAATTCAATCGAAAATTAAATTTTCCATGAGTAAGTTCACGCTTGAAAAACAGTGTGAAATTTGAATTTTCTTAAAAAAGAAACACTGAATTGATGAGGTTATCACCTTGGATGAAGTTATTCATCAGTTATCACTTACCATTGCCCCCATTAGTGGTCGGACTAGACTTGGGTGTGATATTACGGGTAGGAATCTGAACACACTTTTGACAGAGCACCTCTTTTCCTGTGAAAGTTACCTTTTCGCCAGAAGGGAAAGGTTGTCTACATCTAGCACATGTGAAACAATTTTGGTGATACGTTTTTCCTAAAGCAGTAACAACCTGCAAAAAAAGTCTCATATAATAAAAATGTTTTGCTTTGTTCTTTCAAAAAGTGTTTAACATGTGGGTCACATTTTTTCTTCCAACATATTTCCTTCAGGTATATGGAATAATGTTGGCAATTGACTTCATCAATTATGAAATCAGTTGAACTTCTATCGAATTACGAAAACATTCCAATGTGGTAATATAAACAAACTATATTTTCTTTATCTTATCTTTATGAGACTAAAAAATGTTTACCTATTTCCGCATTTTTTATACAAATAATAAAAGCTATAATATACAGCAAATTTGTTTTAATGTTCACTTGAATTCTACTTTTGATAGATGAAAGACTTAAAACTTTTACTAGGCTATGTATATTCAAAAGGGCAAATTGTTCTAAGTAAGAAGAATGAGAACGTACAGGCATCCTTAGTTTTCTTCCCTGATTCACAATAAAAAAGCTAACTGTGATAATAATTCTTAGTATACCAATCAGCTGCTGAGACATTACCATATGATAAAATACTTAGAAAGAGCATCTTGGCGTGAATACTTGAAAGTGAGAAAGTAGACTAAACAGCGTGACTCACGGTCGATGGTAGGATAGACGTTTCTGGAAAACGCAAAGCATGATTTTTCTGAAAATTTCACCTCCCACATTTCCTTACCTGTTCTATCCACCTAAAATATTTTCAGCATTACGGCGTTGCCACTTCTATCAAAAAGTCCTAGCAATTATATTTTTTTAAATAGAACACCCCGTATATTAATACATTTTTGGAATCGCTCTAGTATTTCAATACTTTTTTGTTAATAATGTCCTTTACCTATCTCTATCTGTTTTCGAGATAAAAAATAAATTGTGCTAAATATGGTCCAAAACATAGCCTTAATTGAAATTAAGTACATCAGTACTCTCAATTCATGAAAAGTTGATATTTTGATGATAGTTTGGACAAACTCGAAATATTCAAATAACACCAAGAAATCAACTCCATATTATACAGGGCGTGCTAAAATTACTATTATTTCTATTGTGCATAAAAGTAGTCGAAAGTTCATTTTTCCAAATGAAACCCCCTGTATATTACTCGATAAATTGAAAGATGGTGAAAAATGCTTCAAGATGATATACATGTCCCTATACCTAAATCGTCAAGTTTTCTTAATAAAGCCGTTTTTGTGGAAAAATAGTTATTCACGTTATTCACGATAGAACAGGTAAGGAAATGTGAGGGGTGAAATTTTCAGAAAAATCATGCTTTGCGTTTTCCAGAAACGTCTAAGCTACCATCGACCGTGAGTCACGCTGTATAAAATAATCGACATGACCATTAACAAATTCATTTTCAGAAAAACTGAATTTATTATAAAAGTAACGTAGTTCATATAACAAGTCGCTTGGGTTTTTTTGGTGTCAATATCATTCGGTGTCAATGGTCATTAGTCTCGGAAATAATATTTTTAAACAATACATTTTCGACAATGGGTGCTTAAACTTAGATTGTTATCTTTCCCTACAACGGATTTGAGAAGCATACGCCAACACCAATGTCATACCAAAGGAGGTAATAAAACACATTAAGGGCAGCATTATGTTGATGTGTATAGGCTAACACTGTTTATGCTGGAAATACGAACATATAGATCTTAGGAGCCTCAACACAAGCTTTGCATCTGATGTCAAGAACCTCTATACCCATCACACGACTGTGGCCCATCAAGACTCCATCCTGGTAGGCTTTGATAAACCCATCCGACCTGAGGAAAGTAAGTCAGTTGCTCTGATAAGCCAAGGTCTTCAATGCGGTTGAAGAAGATCCCATGCATATCCTTATCCTTGGGTGCCTGAAGGCCTTTTGCTAAACGGCTTCCAACTTGCTGATACACTTGTAGTCACCTCGTCAGACTACATTTAAAAAAAGCCTGGACAATATACTTTCTAGACAATACATTTTCGACAATGGGTGCTTAAACTTAGATTGTTATCTTTCCCTACAACGAATTTGAGAAGCATACGCCAACACCAATGTCAAAATGGTAGGACTACCAAAGGAGGTAATAAAACACATTGAGGGCAGCATTATGTTGATGTGTATAGGCTAACACTGTTTATGCTGGAAATACGAACATATAGATCTTAGAAGCCTCAACACAAGCTCTGCATCTGATGTCAAGAACCTCTATACCCATCACACGACTGTGGCCCATCAAGACTCCATCCTGTTAGGCTACGATAAACCCATCCGTCCTGAGGAAAGTAAAAGTCAGTTGCTCTGATAAGCCAAGGTCTTCAATGCTGTTGAAGAAGATCCCATGCATATCCTTATCCTTGGGTGCCTGAAGGCCTTTTGCTAAACGGCTTCCAACTTGCTGATACACTTGTAGTCACCTCGTACAGTGTCAAAAACTAAAGCAAACTTATCAGCTGTCTTGAAATGAAATACTCCAATTCTTGTTCTCATGGTCGAAATCCAATCAGAAAAGGGGATCCGAACTCCTGATTACAGGCTCCATCCAGTATCATTGATATGTAGAAATGCAAATGCACAAGTCCAGGGCCTTCTTGTTTTACTGGGGAAATATAACCATGGAACAGATGAATTGGTATGCAGACTCACAAATACTTGGCTTTTTCAAAACGGCTAACATTTCAGAAAGTAATCCCTTTCCATTCTCAAAATGAAAAAAATACTTATAAAAACCACCAAAAGATGAAAACATGAATACACATAAAGTTTTTTTTTTTCGAAGATATGCCTATTCTTTAAGTAATCCCATTTTGTGAGGTTCTTTGGCGATCATAATTATGTTAAGATATCAAGTTTGAATAGGGTCTTTTGAACTTAATAACTTACCTCGCCTTCTACATAATCCTGGCAAGCAGCACATTTTGTACCAAAGTTTCGCTGGTAATCAGCTGTACAATAATAGAGACCATCTTTAGAGAAGAAACCACCCTGAGCTAGAGAATTGCTGCATTCCTTACACTTAAAGCATTGTGTGTGGAAATATTTATCTTGGACACGCAGCACTTCACCGGTGCACTTCTTTTTGCACGATTGGCAGTATGTTTTTCCTGAAATTAAAAAATTTAATTTGAACAAAAAAATAATTGGTTGAATTTATAATAAATAAAAAGTATAATAAAATTCAAGAGAACATTAAATGTTTAACGCCCTGTTATATCATAAACAATAGCACAAGGATTATGCGAGTTTTATTCTCTGAATCATCCTTAGAATCACCCTCTCAGATCCTCTTAAATGAAAATGTAATTCAATTTTACAAATTTTGGTGAGAAAGATTGGTGAGAAAGTAAGTCCTGGTTAATCATATAAACATTATTTTCTTTACCACCTTCATCATTCAGACAGTTTTTCTTCAGAGAAATATAACATTACCTTTCTGTAAATATTACATTTATTTCACTGCCTTCAGCGGCTTGAAAAAAAGGATAAGTATCTGTTCTGTTCCAAAGAGATACATTAGCGCTAACAACAGGCAGAGGAGGAAAGTCTAGTGGAAAGTGCGGTACGAATTGAGCTAATAAAGCGATAGACATCTGAGTAATAATTAGTCTGAAGGTCAGTTGAAGTTTTTGTGTTGTATTGGCAGTGTAGTAGTGAAATTGAGTTGAGTTTAATATTGAACAGTGTGGTCAATTATTGTCAAACCCACGGGGAAAACAATAATATCAACAATAAAACTGAATAGAATAATCCAAATTCAGGTCATGAATCCTAGATCCTTCAACAAAAACACATTTCTCACATATCAAAACGGTTGGTCCTTCACTATCGAGGTGAGGTTTCGCGGTGAGTGAAAGTGAAACTCCAAGCAAAATGAGCGTCTTCTAGAACCATGCGTCTTATGCGATTTTCGTCCACTCAAGGAGCCATTTTCGTCCACTGAAGTGGCGATTTAGTTCACTCGAGGGACGATTTTTCTCGCACTCACTGTCAGTCGACCTTGGTATTGACTATGCGCCAAATCACACGGAACCGACATAGAGCGGACGTGCGCAGACTTTTGTCTCTTCCACGTCTATCCACGGCGCCACGTCGTTTCTACGTCATTTCTATTTTTTACATAGGAAAGACGCGAAAAAGAAAAAACAGCGCCACGTCCGCACACATTTTTCTAAGGCCCAATTCACACAGAACGGACGTCTGGCAGAGGCGAGGCATCGGTATGGCATGGACGTGGCGAGAAAGGACGTCAGTAACCTGTTGGTTTTGTGGACTACAACATGGCTTTTTCAATCAGTGACGTCTTGGCCTGGTCTTGGGTACTCGTATTACAATAATCAGCACGATTCACGATTAAAATCAAATAAACGAGGATATTCGCCAACTTCTTCGCAAAATTGTATGTTGGAGTCAACTTCATTCCACATTTTTGAGGATGAACACGGAGAAAAACGTAACAAGGAACTGACGTGCCCCTTCTTGTACGCCACGAGAGACGGCAAAGAGACGGGGCGAAGGTGGGAGGGCGACCGCCCGAACCATGTCACTTCTGAGAACATTGGACCATTTGTTTACATAGGAGAAACGCGGAAGGGACGAAGTTCCGGGCCTTGTCTCTGCCGAACGTCCATTCTGTGTGGATTGGGTCTAATTTTGTTTCAATATGGACAGGTCAAGTGACGAGGGAGATATTACAATTCGTTACCGGCGTTCACCAAAAGAGACATCATTCTTAAGGGACTACTCCTGGAAGATGCGCCCAGAAGACAGACGATCTACACCTAGTTGACCATTCAGGTTGTCTGAGAGCTATAAAGAAGAATGTATGGAGATTTTTTCCTTCAAATTCAAGACATCAAACCAGTTGGTAGTTAAATAAATGTGTATAGACTTTAATTTTCCTCTGATTTGTAGTAACTCTTCAATGCTGCATTGGGGCTAAGTGTTATTTTGCGAGATAGAATGAGCTAACATCTGGTTCCTTATTAAGAATCATTCTAAATAAAAGTTTTTTTGACTTACATTTGAAAACTAAAAACGAATAAATAATAATCAGTATTTCTCCTCAGTAAACTGAAAGCAACGTACTGTAGAAGCTATACAGGGATAGATGTTTAAAATATATCTATCGTGAGAACTTTTCTGGGCACAATATTTTGACAATCTTATTTGTCAATGCCTGTAACTTGAACAAAAAACTATATACATTGCACTTTGGCATACAAGATATAAATTCAAAGCTTTAAATTTATAAAACTAGTTGTGAACAACCATTGTCCACTACTCCTCTATAGTTCATAGTTATTTTTATATCAGAGTAAAAAGATGTGTTGACACTAATCATATTCCGGATTTGTCATTCCTGCCAAATGTTATTCGCTCTTTCTGCTTGTTAAAAATACATTGAGCAAAGATAGCGAATAACTTTTGGCGTAAATGAATCTAGGTGTCAACAAAACACAAGAAAAGAGATGCCAACATGGTTTACATGGTTTCCACCTTTCTTCAGGAACCCCTCTATCTACATTCGACCCTATGTCGCCCTCTCTTATAGTAAGAACTATGGGTAGATCAAAGAGGCTGTTTATAATTTACCGCCACATACGGCCGTATAAGGAAATGTTGAGCAAGAAAACTGAAAATTTTTATAACCTATGGCATAGGTTATATTTTTTCTTCATAATTATTTTACGATTACAATATTACTTCATTCACTAGTGACTTGATGTTTTTTTATCTTTTTTTTTTTATCAAATGCTGATAAATTTTTATGTGGATAAATAAACTGATTATGAGTTAGAAACGTTCAACTTTTGCATTCTCGAGAACGAGATATGTGAGCAATAAGATCTTAGATTTCATAATGACCTTGAAAAAAGATAGAATATACTCTTATTGTTTAGTTCATCTCAAAAAGATTTTAATAAAATTGGAAACAAAATTAAATACAAAGACGTATTTTGTTTATCTATGTATAGCAGCTATCAACATTAAAGTGCACTTTATAGAATTTTCTAGAGACAATTCTCTCATAATGCTTTTTTAACAGATTGGTAACATCCAGCTAGTTCATTTCTTCGAAGTATTCCGAATAATTTTGTTCTCTATACTAGTTCAAACAGTGCGGAAACAAAATGTCAAGGTCGGAAAAAATTTACGTGGAAAAGCATCATTTTCATTAATTTAAGACAGTGTTGCATCATTTGTCGCCGAGAGGGCACTACCAACTTTTTTTGAAACGGGAAGGCGAGTCTGGTGATACCTTGTTTGAGAAGTATTTCAATTCTCTATCCAATATTTGGTTTATTTTTGAAAATTGGAATATCCATTCCTGAGTAATTACTAGTATGATATTCTTTGGGAGCACCTTTTATTCAAATCATCAGTTGCAATGTGTCCTTTTGTTGAAGGTAAAGTTACATTATTCAACCCTATTTTGTTCAGGGGCTCCTCTCGATAGAATGTTCAGTGAATAGACTTGTAATTATTCTGTGCCTAACCTGCTGTTAGCAGTTCTTCAGTTGTTTTTTGGGTAGTCCCTTTATAAATATTTTTCAGTGAATGTTCCCAGCTTATTGGCCCGTTTTCTGATCTGCTTCTGTACTAATGGAATTGGTACCTCCACAGCTGGTCCAGGACTCATATATGGAGTTGATGATCTTTGTCTGGCACACCCCTCAGTTTTTTTATATTTTGTATTTCCTGAGTGATCTGGCTCGCAGTACAAAATCTGCCAGTTCATTACTCTCGAGTTCATCAATTCCCTTAGTGAGGTCTGGCTGTCTTTAAGAATATAGAATTGCTCATTTTGCTGAATCCCCAAACTTTGCAACGTTTTTTGTCCAAATTACTAAATGGCCAGTTAAAAATGATTTCAATTAAATTTCAAAACCATCACTTTCGTTTACTTTATTCATCTGTAGCTCACCTTCAAACTTACGTCATCCTAATGAAACAAGTACACAACAGATAAGGTATGGCGATGTTTGTATTAAACATCTAACAATAGAATCAAATGTAATGCATGGGAAAAACACCATTTATATAACAAATTCATTCAACAAACGAAGTGATTACTAACACTTCAATGAAGAAAAAACTACGTGAATAAATATTATAACTTTCAAATTAAATATATTTGTTTTATGAATGGAAAAGTAACATTGACTAAAGTTTTCAACTACAATCAATTACCATAAATTATCTTCCAAATGCTTAATGGATGCTTATTTTTAGGAACACTAATTATTCTTTTCAGAGAGCACTAGCTTTTTAATTTGTATTACAAAGACAATGACAAATACCTACACAGTTTAAAAACTCGTTGAATAGTTAGGTCAGGATCATTATTTCGCGGACGGTTGGTATTTGAAAATATCTCCAGGAAGGAATATTAGCGTGGAGTTTTTTGACAAATTTACCTCTACTCCCAAGCTGTGTTTTCACTTTTCCAAGATTTACACAGACATCACTCATCACTTAATAATATAAAAATCTCATACATTTTTTTAGAGGTAACAACATTTTATGATCTTATGATGCACTGTTTGAAACCTTTGGTGTAGTAGGAAGATTAAAACTGTTTTAATCTCCTCTTTGAAGATGATCACTTGGTGATCGAAACACGTGTCGAGGTGTTAAAAAATAACGATTTGGTGTTGGCAATAAACTCCAGTAATATTTATATTTATTTAGGTAACAACATATCAACCCTAGTTTTGCAATCTATAATTATTATCAGTATTCTTGGGATATTACTATTTAATTTGAGAAAGTAAACACATTGTTGTGTGAATTCATTGTGGATGAATATAAAAAAAAATTCATGAGCAAAATTATAAATGGTTTATGGAAGGTCTCGAGTAAAAATTAATGATAATTGAAGTGGTAGACACAAATGTAGGTGTTATTGTAGACTGCAGATCGGTGATTCCCAAAATGGTACAGAGGGCCCCCAGGGGTCCATGAGACTCGACAGAGGTTTACGATGGCGTGACCAAAAAATGGGGGTTCACAATACGTAAGAGGGGTTCTACGAAAATGTATCTGGTTTCGATAGTGAAGAATCAAAATGTACAAGAACATCCCGCCCATTGAAATTATGACT